TAGAACACAAAAAACATTCAAAATGTAGTGGCATGTATTAAAATTATAATTTAAATGCAATACTATATACAGGGTATCCCAGGCACGTTTGAATATTGGAAATTAATATGGGAAATGAATTTTAATTTTTTCCGGCTGCAGGAGTAACAAAAATCAAAATCAAAATTAATGGAGCTTGTAGTGCTCCCAAAAGAGCTATCTTATTGACATTTTTGTCGATTCTCTAATTACCTCCATTTGGGCAAAAAAATTTTGCCGGATTAGCGTTACTAAAAACGAACTATCAAGTCAAAGCAAGGGCTTTTAACTGACAAATTCTCTATTAACAACAATGACTTGGTATGTATTCAGTTTAACAAAATTTGCCGTTTCCGCTAACTAAATTTAGGATTACATAATCAGAATGGCCAAAAAATAACCCAAAATTTAATCTTTAAAGAGCTATAAGTAAAAAAAGGCTCAAACAATTTTTGTCTTGGAAACTTTTAACTCAGTTGGATGTCCTTTATCACCACCCACGAAATGGTCCGAGACTTTTGAAACACCCTGTAGAACTGAAATAGAATCGGCACATTACTATAGTAATTCTGAATAAGAGTATATTTTCAAAATAATCTCTGTGAAAAAATTCATTTACACATAACATTCAACTAAGTATAATTATGTTGATACAGAAGTCTTTTTCCAAGTAACAGTTGATTTATAACAATTCATAACTTATGTCATTATTAGAACAACTGTTGAATATTTAAAGAGTTTAGTTATACTTGTGGATTTTCTGCAAAGCTTGATGCTTGCCTGTGAAATTATGTGACAGACACTCCAATTTAGGCTAAGATACTCGTACTCATATTTTTGGGAAAATTTTGTATAAGGAACCGTACCTACTCGTTTATAAAGCTCATAAACTATTAAACCTAATACCATAACTCTTATCTTTTTCGTTCCTCCCCAAAAAAACTAAATAAAAATTCTGAACTAATAGAAGCAGTAGTGGCGTTGCGGTGAGGTAAAGCGCTCAAATATTTACAGAGTGTGACCGCGCCTGTTAAACCACTTAAACTCTTCGCAAACCGACCATCAAATAATTCATATTGAAATTTATTTAATACACTTATCGTCTGGCGCATATCTAAGAGGAACCTCCAGGTCATTCACATTATTCACGATGTTTAGCTTCAGTTTTTAATCCTCCCTCGGTTCTCCCCATATTGCATATCGGTGTTATTTGTTCGAATCGCTTGAAAAATGTCGCAAATACCTGCTATCGTTTCAATAAAAGCGAGCGCAAATGAAGTACCAAGAATTCCGATAAAATTAATAAAGTTAATCAGTTGGGCGTCAACAGAAAAAAACTACAACGAGCCAAGAAAGAACATCGACGCGTGCTTGAATCTTGTTTGGCCGAATCGTTCGTACAAAATGTGTAAACTAGAAATAACTTTAAATAAGTCCAACGAAGTTAAATAAAACTACAAATTGAGATGAATGTTGCTGTTTTGCTCACGTGTTGGATGTTTTGATAAAAAGCAAAACTGCTTCCAACTTTTGTCTATTTGAATTGGAAATTACCCACCGATTTTGTTGCTTTTTAGGCTCTGATTGCCTTTAATTAAGCTCCTTTAGTAAAAAACACCTTAATTTAAAACTTATATACAACTCTATTCGATGTTTTCTGGAAATACGTCTTTCAGTAAAGTTAAAACTTAAGAAACACAACACAGAAGTTGATATTTAGCTTCATATTATTAATATTAATGTTTTTACTCCTTGGTCGAAACGTTAAGTTTTGGTTTTCTCTTATCGCGGCGATTTAAAGTTAGATGTAAATTTAAAATGAGACAATTTATTAGCGGAAGCGAGCAAAATCAAAGCAATAAAACGGTGGAAAAGCGTTCAAGGCGTAGATTGTGTATCCACAGATTAAGACGAGATTATCGCCATTATTCTGAGTTAGTTCAGGATACAAACGGGCGGATTACTTATATCTGAAATTTATCAATTGACTAAGCCCGATTCTTTGAAAAATGGTCAAAACAAAACAAACCAGAGTAGTTATTAAACTTGTTTCCAAAACAAAAGTACAAGGAAACGCAGAGAAAAATTCCGACAGAAAATTAAAAACTGTTGTATACAGTATCTCTCGTTTAAAAGATTACAAAAATTCATTTTAAATCAAAAACAGAAAGTTCCTGCTTAAATTAAGCAAAAATGCCTTTGCACATCTAATTAAACACCTACCTGTTAAATATTTTTTTTTTAATGTTTTTAATAAAGAAGCGATAAATACTACCAAATGTGTACAAAGAAAAAATACTTAGTGTTTGATAATGATTTTTTTAGTAAAAAGTCTATAACAAATGAACAACAACAAAAAATAAAATATTTAATATTGTCTGATCATTATTACTTCCTATGGATTATTTAGAAAGAAAACAACTACAACAAGAGAACAAAAAGTGAGCAGTTTTCAATCAATACACTATTATTAGTACTTTTGTAAAAGTCATTTTAGTTTACCCCAATCTTTTTACAAGTTTTTTTTTCAACTTAGAAGCATAAAATTATAACTTTATTAAATATTTAACAAGCAAATATTTGATTGCTTCTTGTATTATAATAGTAACAGTAAATATACGTTATAAGGAATAAAAATGATTGTTTATGTGGCAAAGCTGAACGTTTATTTTGCCGTATAGTGAGCCAAATAATTCAGCTGAACCTCATAAACTCACTTTTACTCCGAATAACATATACTATTTTATCCGCAAACATATGCAGATCGAGAGTAATAGGCAACACTATAATTAGCAAGTAGATCAACAAAATCATCGAGACACTTTGCAACTATCTATAATGAAATCATAACAACGCTTATAAACAAAAACATCATGCGTCAGTATTTGTGGTGAGATTTTTGAAAGTGTTTATTAATTTAACTAGTGCAGTTAGTAGCGCAAAATGTCGAATAGTTGTGACCTACAATGTACATACCTCTCCTGAAATTGTTGAAGCAGTGAAATAGACAAGAAAAAAACAACATTGGTGAATGTCAGTAAAGTACTGGTAAAAGTAAAAACGCTTATTAGACGCAAAAATAGTATTTCTACTTCACGGCTGAAAGGTAAAACTTTTACTTATGACATAAATGGGGTCACTTATTTTGTAACATTTGCGGATAAATAATTGGTATATTCGCTGGCGAAAGACCTAAAAATAGGTACGTCACCATTTTTTTGGAGATATAAGCAAGAAGCCATACAAAGCAACTTTTTGGTGCTCCCCTGTGCCCCGCTAACCTAAGTTAACTATTATAAAAATGGTGGATGCGCCGGGATATTATAATTGTAATCGCAGATGTATAACGAGTAAGTACGTTGTATGTGTAAACGACGAGTGATTGTGTAGTTACATAATCAAACATTTTCCATAATGATGATCACGCGAGGACAAAAAGCAATCCTTCCCAGGCGAAGGGTTAAAACAGACATTTACGGCCATCTCCGAGTCTCTCTTTCTGCAAACTCATTCTGACTAGTTCATATAACTGTCAGCAGAGAGCGACATCGCTTCATCATGGTCAGTGTGATGAATGATACGGTCAGTAGGAAGGCGCCAATGTCGCGTCACTCACTCGACTTGCACAAGTAATTTTCATTTTCTCCGCCAATCCGATTAAAAACAAAACTGCAAAGCCAAGTTAAAAACTCCCCGAAACAAAAACGAACATCACGCTTCTTCTCTAAATTACTCTTTATTTATCTAAGTACGTGCCTGGAACAGGTCGCATTGGAACCCCATAAAATCCCGAGTACAAGTTTTAATGTTCCTTCCAGTTGTTTGACTCCAAGGAATCCCCCTTAAAGTACATCATTTATAATCGGAATATACGAGATAGGTGCAATATAAAATGATCATTTTATTTCCTTATTAAGTCCGACGTTCCCTCGAGTTCGAAAAGAGATCGAAGTCGTTTTTTTATCATAGTTAATGTCCCAGTGTGGTCTTTTAAATTCGAACATTAAACTCTTCGGACCGAATGGAACTTACTGGACCACAACATCGGCACTGAAACATTAATTTTTGCTCCGCCCAAAGGGGTGATACAAATTATTTCGATTTGGGATCGAGAGTTTTCAGCCGTGGTGTGCCGCCGGCTTAATTAATTTGGAAATCAATAACAACAACGCACTGTTGCACACATTTTTCCTAAAAAGGACTAACATGATGCCAGCAAAACATCAATAACGTCAAGCTCGACTTATTACTACTACAACAAATTATAAAACCAACCAAAAATAAAAACATTGTATTTTCTAGTGTCCTATAGTAAGTAGTATTATGCCAGACATTTGCCGCACAAAAAATTGCCGAAGTCGCTCAGCGACCCTTAAAAAATCCCATCAATTTTCCCAATCGCTCTCTAAATGCATAAAATTGTGTGGAATAAATCAACTTTGTATTCATAAAGCAGACAACAATCAGACAAATAAATACATTCCTGGTGTTCTGCCTTATTCTGGTAACTTCTTCGCAACAAAAAAATGATTTATCGGTCGGCGTCTGGCGTAGTAGACACACCAGGTTTATTCTTGGCCAAAATATCACGTTGTCATTAGCAAGATTGATGTTTCCTCGTATTAGTTCCGATCAAATCGAAACCCTCCACTCGTCCGCATGCAAACATGTCTAATTCGCTGTGAAGACAAGCCGTCCGTGCAAAACTGCACCAAGTCGATGTTTATCTTCTTTATGGCTCCTGTTTCCTGCTTGTTAGAGTCCAGAGTTGAGGATTGTTTGACCAAAGCACCCCCACAAAACATCCTCTCGAGTTCCAGGTGAATCTCCGGAAGTGGTTAATCCATTATGTATGTTGCTGAAAGCATCGGGATTTTGTATGGAAATCATTCCGTAACTTATGAATAGGCGGATAGGGCGCAAGTTTACTTACTTCTTGCTACGGCATTAAAGATGGATGGCTGAATCGGAGGATTCCAAAAGCCACCTATCGACTGTCCGCCCCCTTTAATAGTTTATTGAAACGCGAAGACTTGGGGTCAGATTTTATGGAAAGAACAGATTTATGAAAAGCGCGATTTACACACAAAAAAATCGCTACCTATTGTTGCAAAAATCAACTCTATAGAAACAGCAAAACTGACAAAAATTTGACTATCCTAAATGGATAAATATCACATTTTAAGAAACCCTTCTTCTAGATTGGTTTTAGATGGAACACAAACGATTGTTGAAGCACGCCAACTTAACAAATTTGACGCTCAGCTATGGAAACTGGAACATGTAGATCGTGGAAAATTTTTCATCCACAATAAAGCTGATAAAGGGTGAGAACTTGCTGGTCTTAACAGTGCCAGTAGCGCAAATTTAGAAAAGTTTTAGACATAGAACGTGAAAGTAAAAAAGGGGCCAACATCCTACTATGTAAAAAAGAAAACGGAAACAATAACCAAAATTGGTACATAAATTCTGACGGTTCTATCGTTTGTGCTAACGGTGATAATTTAGCAATTGATGTTTCAACGGACGGAAAGCTAAAACTTCAACCAAAATCAGGGTATGAAAATCAAAAATTTGAATTTTGCAACAAAGTTGATTTGTAGTGTTACTTTACACCTAAGAATTAAAGTAGATGTTTAAACTAAGTTCGTTTCAATAAACATCACGATCACTATTGTACGATCGTGTTCAAGTGTAAAGACCATAATAATAAAATCTCAACATTTACAATCATAAATCCTATGAAGTTTTAATTATAGGAATTCCAGCAGTAGATTAATCTATACTTAGATTAATAGAATCGATAGAATTTTATTAATAATTCCTCCAGTTTGAGTACCTTATTTTCTTATTACTTTATTACCTCAAACATAGGTAAAATTTTGTCGTTTTGAAGTAGACACATACAATTTAATATGTTAGGTACAAGTACATACATAAATACTATCAAAACGAGGATAAAAATATTAAAATTTTGATTTCATAGATGAGAAAAAGGTTAAAATTTTAAAGAATTCCAAAAAAATTCTGCATTTATGATTACGCCTATAGCTAGAACTGGTATTAACAGAATTTATACCTATAAAAAATCAATTAAGTATGATGCATAATTTTAAAAATCAAAAAAACTGTTGGTTTAATAGTGTTCCAATTGTAGAATATTACAGGATGTTATATTATTATTTTTTAAATGTAAGTACACTTTTTCAAATATAATTTTTGATGCAATAAACCCCACTGATTATTTATATTTAATTTGTTTACAAAGTAATAAGAAATTGACCAACAGTTTGGCGTCGCAATACCACCTCAACCTTTAACAAATTCTGCAAGTCACTGCTTTACATGTATTCTACTACCTAATTATAGAATTTTGTTCGGAAATAAATCTATTAAAGCCCCACAACAATTGTTGCACGTCCACAATCAATAAAACCTTCATCAGAACCTAGGTTATCATTACAAGAGCATCAACTTGAGATAATTTTTAAATCTGGCAATCAGTAAGAAAATGACCTCACAAGACGCGACACAATTTCCATTCAATAAAAGTCTTTAATTTTTTACTCTCCACGTCTCCACTAAACAAGTTCTACAAATAAGCACAAAATGCCTGACCTGCTGGAGTTAGTGGAATTTGAAGGTTAGAACAGCTGATCAATTACCATTACTTGTTATTTGATTTATTTGTAAAAATTACATAATGTTTTTATCATTTTTCCGGAAAAAAGCAGATAGTCCACGCAAAGAAGTCAAGGAACTGAGTCAAGATGATAGTGAATTGAAGTACACAGTTTATGGTAAGCGTTTGAGGCTGATTTTTGTAAAAATTAAAACATTGTGCTTGTTTTAGACTTGATTCGGACTATCAAGGACCCAGAAAAGCCCAACACTTTGGAAGAATTAAATGTAGTGTATGAGGAAGGGGTTGAGGTAATTTGTTTCAATATTTTTGTAAATGGCTGAATTTGTGTGATTTGAGGTTAAGGAGCGTACTTCTGGAAATGTTAGTGTTGTAAGGGTTGAATTTAATCCTACTGTGCCCCACTGTTCTTTAGCAACATTAATTGGATTGTGTATTAGGATAAAATTGGAAAGGTGTATTCCTTATAGGATTAAATTAGATATTTATATCAAGGCGGGGGCTCACACAACTGAACATGAAAGTAGGTCAGTTTTACAGGTGTTTCATCAATAAGTCTTTGTTTTAGTCAATAAACAAATTAATGATAAAGAGAGAATAGCAGCCGCTATGGAAAATCCAAATTTAAAAGAAATGGTAGAAAACTGTATTGTTGAAGAAGACTGAACTTTGTATCCAGATATTTAAGCCAAAATATTATTTACTATTTAGAATTACGTCTTTTATCATAAACTTTTGAAATAAAAAAGTTTTTTTTTTCAAAAAAAGTGCAAATTCTAAACCAAATTCAAGTTTTTCGATTTAAAATTGAATTCAAAATATCGCTAGAAACAGAAACGTAAATTTCGATACACTTGTCTTTGATGCGCACTTGGTTTAATTCTGTTGTCCCTTTTAGTGTTCTGGAGAATTTCCCAAAATGTTTCCTGGTTTCGTGTCTCACCAGTCAAAAACACGCTGACGCAGCATTTTACAAATTTTTCAACACTCGTATTCTATTTTTGAAGCACGGTCTCATCGCTGTTTTGTCATTAATAAAAAAAATCTATTTAAGAGTTTTACAAAACATGAGTAACAGATATCACACTTGGTTTATTTTTGCATAGAAAAAATACATAGGTAAAATATAAATATCTTATCTCATCACTATCTCTATTATGCACCATCTTGATTTAATAATTTACAAATTACACCTAAAACCTAACAAGGAAGTCACTTTAGACATTACAAAAAAACGTTAGGTTGTAAGCAAATCTTTGAACGAGCGGCACAATTTTTACAAAAATAACAAAAAGGAGACATACTAATAACGCCTCAATAAACAAGTACAATTAAAAATCTCATAAAAAATCCTAATTAGCAGTCTCAAAAAATAACACCAATTATTGGTAAATGATAAAAACAATTTGTTCATTTGCTTAACAACTTAAAGCTAATAAAACAATCAGCAAAAGAACAAATTGGCAAAGCACGCTATTTACAATAAAAAATTTAACAAAACGATTGACTAGGCTTTTTTCACGATCCCCGGACCGTGTAACTCTATAAACGATTCGAGAGCTTCAGGAACTTGTCCTTGATAAGTAAGTTTATGATGTTTAACAGCATTGGCAGCGATACATTTCAGACTAAGTTTCATTTGAGTCTTTAAAATAATCTCGGCCACACCTGAAACATCATCAATCAAAAAATGTACACTTGAAACCTGGTCGTACAATCATCACAACACTTACTACCTGTAGCCGAGGCTTCCAACGGAGTCTCTCCTCTTTTATTAACACAATCTAAATGCGCCCCCGCTTCCGTCAAATCGGTTATGATCGAATGCAAAGTCAAAAAATCCGAAATTGGTTTATGGTAATTGACAATCACATGAAGGGGAGTATTACGATCATAGTCCATGGCGTTAACATCAGCGCCACATTTGATCAGTAGCCGAGTCGTCTCAGCACAGGGAAACCTGCAAAAACCAAAAATTACACTTGTTTACCACAACCAACGCCACCTACTTGCACACATCGTTAGTGTGGAAATCGTCCACTGGTGTTTCTGCATTGCACGCTAGGTGTAGAAGAGTTTGGCCGTCTCTTAACGTTACATTAAGTTGGTTAAGAGTGAAAACCATCCGATTTACATTAAAACGTTCTTCCTCTGAACACTCCTTCATCAATTTTGTTAATATTGTCAAGAGATATAGAGTCGTAGTGAGATTACTTTCTAGTTCCTCCTAAAATAAGACAAAATAAAAAAAGTCGCCACAACCCCCTCATCCTATACCATCACAGTCTCAGGATCATCCTTAGGCCCCGGCTTGTTCAACTTGTACTTATTTCTTTCTAATTCGGTAATAGCTGCCGCTAAAACCTGCACCACGTGATCATAAGTAACCTTGACATTTACGTGCAGCATCTGCGAAAACACTTGAGCAAACCTGAGCAAGTCTTTAACAACTGAAATATGATTTTTCTGTCTCAGTCTCAAAGCATGTAACCACAACTCTAAACATCTTTCAAATCGAGCATTATCTGCAAAAACTGCACCCCTGTATATCACGGGATGGGGCACTTCAGGGTTCTGAGACCCCAAGATTCGTTCTCGGATGGTCAAAGCTTCCATATGGATGGAGTTATGGTTGTTTTGGATGGCTTCGAGTTCGTAAACTGTTTGAGATTCCACCCAGTGTTCGTAAGCAGGAATTGGAGTTATCAGTTTTTTCTTGATCGGATTGTCCGGATCGCTATACCTGCAAAAAATTTGATTTCGAGAAACTCGATTGATCTATTTTAGATTTCATCTGAATAAAGTTGGCAACAGATCAATTGCTTGTAAGTTGCACAATTCATGTTTTCGTACACGTGTAGAGTGTGTACTTTTGTTAACTAAAATATGTTGCAAATCTAAATATTGGCACTGTGAGATAAGCGAAAAAAAAATTAGTTTCCATGAATTTAATAATTTCAGATGACAAAGTAAAATAAATATTTGTGTGGCAATTTTTTACACTTCCTGGTTCAATGAGCCAAATACCTGGAAACTTTCGCCCTTACTTGCACGCGTCCCTACCGCCCACGTGTCCGTTCCGCCACTGCCAAAAAACTATAAATAAAATACAAAAAACCTATTTTTAGTGTTGTATTACACGCAAAACGCTGATTCCTTTAAAAATGCTAACATTCACCTTGCCGTCTAAAAATACCCTCCCCGTATGTTTATTTCATAAAGTTTATTTTTGATGGCGAGAAATTTTCTTTGTGTACGAACTTACCTCAGCATCATTGACCTGTGCAAGTACTTGTATGCCATGACGATGTCGTAATTTTCCTTATCATTGGCGTACGACGCCCCCAGCAATTCCAGGGCTTCGATCTGCTCCTCTTTACTAATTTCCGGTCTTTCGACGAGATATTCCACCACATCGGCTCTGGTTCTTTCCGCTGCCGCTTTGATAGGCGTCATTCCAGAGTCGTTCGTTGAAAAAACGGCGTTGTATTTCAACAATTCTTTCACTACGGGGAGATGGCCACATTCTGCGGCGAAATGCAGGGCGGTGGCCCCACATAAGGCCTTTTCATTCGGGTTGGCACCATGTTCGAGAAGAAAACTGACCTAAAATGAGGGAGACAATCAGTAATTGAGTCAAATTTTATTGCAGAACTTACGACGTCCAAATGGCCTTTATATGCGGCTATCATAAGACACGTGTTATTGTATTTGTTCGCTATGTTAATATCTGCCCGGTGGTAAGTCAGGTACTTGACGATGTCTAATCGGCCGTCAAAACAAGCGGCTCGTAATGGGGTAGAATTGGAGTGTGTGGGGTGGTTTACGTCGGCGCCGGCCTTCACTAGTGTTTTTACCACATTTAAGTGACCTAGACCGTAATTCCATGTTACACAACTATCTTTTCAAGAACTTGCCTTTATATGAAGACAAAAAATTGAAAACTTGTTAAGAAACACCAAAACTTGTTGTGAAACAGTAAAAGAAACAAAAAGAAGTGCTACAAAATCGTAATTCTGCAGCTAAAAAATACCAAACTACACATATTCCAGTGAAAAAATAAGCAATTTTGTGATTGATATCTTCAAACAGACCTAAACCTTGAAATGATTAATGATTTTATAAACGAAGAAATCGCGCCGTGGCGCCGAAATTATCAATTACGCATTTCTTCAGTTCCCAATTACGTTATTAAGTCCAAATACCACAAATACCAAATTTTAACACAAATTCCTGTTATTTCTGGACCTGTCAAAATTTTGAGGTTATGTTTGGTGCAGCTGTAAAAAAGCCTTCAATCCCCGTTACTGTCTCAAAACAAACTAACAACACAATTAGTGGGTACAATCCGGCTACCTGCACACGCGGCACACCATAAAGCACTAGCCCCCTCGATTACATATCCATCAAACTTCACGGTGCCTTCTTTTTCCAAATCAGGCTTGAACTTGGTCAACATCATCCGCATCACCTTGTCGTGGCCCTGCCGCGCTGCCACAATTAAAGGGGTACATTCCTGCCCGTCATCCTCGACGAACTTCTGCAATGGTGCACCAGGTTAAATTTATCCAGTTTCCATGCCAGCAGCCGGTGGCAATGGCCGGGGACAAAGAATTACCTCGTCGAGGATGGCTTCCACTTCTTGTTTATTAGCACCGACTAGAAGAGCGTACAGGGCTATGGACATGCCGTCCTTGGCGGCATAGTAAACTCGATTTTTCAAGTGCTCGTGAGGTTCTTGCATCGTTCACTGCTTCAACACATACTTCGCGGAATACTATTTTCAACTGACCCGACCGTGGATTGCGATTCACTGGCTTGCTCGGGGGAGCGAAAGCACTTGCTTACTGTTTGACGTAAGATGAGGACAAACATTGACAGATCTGTCATTTGCCAATTTGTGTCACGTGATAATTTCATAAATTAAAAATCGGTTTTTGATTCGAATACAACACAATTACAAAATCTTCACCGACATATACATAACTACATTATTTTTAAATACCTATAAATTCCTGAAACATTTAACCCATAGTAAACCTTTCATCTTCCTTTTTTAAATTGTATCATTCTTAGGTTGGTAGCAGCACGTGCAAATGGCAAAAGTAAAAAAAAAATACTTTTTTATGTAGAAATCTATCTGTATTTATAACAATGAAATTGCGTACATAGGTATCCTTATAATGCAGATTTTGATAAAACATATAATATAACACAAAATAAATACACTCCTAAGAGTTTTTAATATTTTGTACAATATAGGGGTATTCAAGTTTACATTAAAACAGTGTTATACAAAATACATACATTCCAATGTAACATTTTTAAGGCAGCAGCGTTATAACGTTTCCATTTTATTTAATAAATTTTTATAAACGTCTAATTGTTCAAGGGAAAATGATTTTGTTGCTATTTCTATTGGCAGCTCTGCAGACACCAAAATGTGGAAACTTCAAATTGAAAATAATAGTTTTATTTAATTTTCGATAACTAATAACCACTATTAAATTAAAATGACAAATGAAACTGTTTAAATTATAAGATTCTACTCCATTTTAAGGCCTAAAAAACGTAAGTGCGTACAACTTAAAAATATATAACTTTCATTTGACTGCATTTGACATAGACATTTGACTGACCTTAAACGTAATAATAATTTTCCTGTTGTTTGTATAGATTGTAGTTAAAAGAGTAACATTTGGGTAATTACTACAATCCTTAAATATGTCAGATGCAATAATTCAACAAAAACTTAATGGTACTCCAAATGAAATTGTTGATTAGGGCCCCCATGCCTGTCATAGGCTATAAGAATATTCCCTGGGAAGCACTGACCATCACAAACATCCACAGCCAAATTTGCAGCACCACTAGTTATGGTATGGTCTGGATTTACAAACCATTGTTGATTAGGCCCCCCGTGACTCTCATATGTAATCAAATTTGCACCACAATCTGGCCCTCCTTCAATATCCAACACAGCCCTAAGATTAACAAACACCAATTTTTCTACATTTATTTGTGACATAACCTCTTACCCATTTCCCTTGTTTCTAAGAACATATCTATCGCCTCCTACGGGCTCCAGTATCCATTGTTGGGCAGGAGAACCAGTGTAATGTTGCAACTTAACTTCATATTCAGTTGCATCAAGACACAGGCCAGAAGGAGTGTTTCTGATAACGGCACATTGTCCACCTTGGTACGGTGGTGGAGCACCAGATGGAAAACCGGATTGTAAAGTTGCTCCTGGCTGGTAGGGAGGTGCTCCAGGCTGGTATGGAGGTGCTCCTGGTTGATACGGTGGTGGTGGTTGAAAACCGTAACTCATGCTTTTTTCTTGATGAAAAAATGGAATTTTAAAACGTTAGATAACTGGGGTTGGGATTAACGTACCTCTAAAGCGGCGGACCTTAGTTGTATGTGTAATAGTTAGTTTAGTCAGGTTTGATGCAGTGTCGTCGCTGTCGAAAACCACAAGGACACTTATTAAATAAGGCACTTTGCAGGAAAAATGGGTTAGAAGTGGGCGTAACCCACGATCATGGACATGATTACTGTGCAAAAGTGGGAATGTCTACGTACACTGAAGAAAACAAGAAGTTTGAAATACTTAATCGAAATTAAATAATTAGAGAACTAAATATGTAGACGACCTTTGATGATCTTGGACAACAATGAACAGTGGCGTACCTAGAATTTATTGTGTCGCTTTCCTTTGCAGAGTTTTAAAATTATTTTTCCGATTTAAAAACGAAACATGTTCCATAATCAATAATCAGTAAAATCATTAATCATATAATGTATTACTATTACTTATTTATAGGTATATAACATACTATAATCATTTTATTAACCGCTAATAAAAATTAAAACTAAGTCTATTAGACAAAATCGCATTACTCTACACAATGCCACAAAAAAAACGAAGAGACCTTCAAGTGGGTATTATGTAAAAATAACACAAGAAAAAGGTCTTATACTTATTGTAAGTGTTCTAAATGAAAAATTTGATTTTCAAGCTTATTTAAGCAGGCAAGTATTTATTTGTTTTTCGAAATGGCACTCTAGGTATCGTATGATCTTCGATAATAATTTAGGTAATAATGAATCATTGCTAATTATTGCTCTATGTCTTCGATCTTCGATACGTAATAAGATTAGGACCATATTTAACACTTCCTTTAATATTCAATACGTCTCAAAATTAATTAAATACAATTCATAGAAAAATGTTTTAACTAATTCAATACAACAAAAGATGCTCGAAGGTACCACCATTGGCATCAATAGTTCTAGAATTTCTAAAGGCATAAGTAATTTATCATTGGTTTTTAGGGTTTTGCAAAATAGTACAACTTGAAGACGATAAACTATTGTTTTAGAGTTAACTGTGATAAAATTCTTTCAAAAATTAGGTCAAAATTTTAACTACATAAAGAAAGAAAATTATCTAATTTTGTCCTGGTACCTTTGAACAAAGAGATGAGATCATCAAAGTATATAAACCAAAAACAAATAGGCTTGGAAGAAATAAGAAGATTTAAAATGTTTTCTTCTAAGTTGTTCATGAAAAATTCTGCTAAAAGGGGGCTAAAGGGTGAGCCTATGGCTAAACCCGTATTTTGTTTGTGTACTACTCTGTAAAAAAGTATCTGGAATTTTCGATTTAAAGAGTTCACGTAGAAGATATCTTAATAATTCTCGTCTGGTATACTGGTACAACCATAGCCCCTTACGAAGCCAAATTTCACCTCTATAGGTCAAGTGGTTGGTTTAAAATTGTTTTTACCATAACTTGTGGTTAAGTCAGACTTGAGATTTTTATTATGGATTCCACAACCGATCAGAAAATTTGCTTGAAATGTTGTGTTGCCAACGAAAATCCATGTAGTGAGTCCCTGAAAATTGTGCAAAAATCTTTTAAGGACTCATGTATGTCAAAAACACAAGCATATGATTGGTACAAAACATTTCAATTGGGCCGAAAAGAGTTCACCGACTTTCTTTGTTCTGGACGATCGTCAACAGCAAAGATGGTGAAAAATGTAAAGAAAATCAAAGAAATGCTAACTGTAAATCGTCATTTAAGTTTACTCGTAAGAGTAATATCATGCAGCCGTTGTGAAGTGTTTGTAAAAAATATTCCCTGGAAAAGGCCAGTTTTGCTATACCTTCCGCTGTTTTTGAGAATAAGTGTTTTGATGATTGAGTTATACGTTGGCATTTGTGTGTCGCTTCAGATGCAGTTTAGTTTGAAGGGAATCAAATAAAAATTGATCAATAATAACGTAGTATGTACTATTTTATTTAAAATTTTCCGGTAAAGTGATTAAATTAGTGTGTGTAAAGGAGGAAGTGACATTTGATTTACAATTAATTAATAAGAAGTCGAGACTACAAACCAAACATTCAACAATGTAATGAAAATTAAACTAATGAAGATAAAATCGGACATTCAAAGGAAATTCGGTTGTTCAAAACTTGTTCAAAGGGATTGTGGGTGGATTTAATAATTTCTAAAGATTCTAAAAATTCTAAAAGATAACCTTTGTTGCAAATAAGAAGAGTTTTGATATTAGTAGTAGGAAAAAAAGGAATGACCCTAAAAAAGGATATGAGAAGCAAAGGCGGAAAAAATGTTAGGTAGTTTCTATTGTCCTTACATGTTTGTGTACTCTGGTTGTAATTGGAATTTTTGATTTTCTCGTCCATGCTTCGGAAAAGCAATGATATTATTTCCAGGGTAATATTTTCCATTTACAATGTCCAAAACCAAGTTGTCAACAGGACATTGCAATGTACCATCTGCGTTCACGTACCATTGTTGATTAGTTTTGCCATGTTTGTGAAAAGTTATTAATTTGGCACAGATTTTAGCTCCATTATCTATATCCAAAGCTTTTCTATAAATAAAATTGGATAAATCTAAACCTAAAATAAAAAAATTATATCGTACCCATTTCCGACATTTATGATCATGAATTTTCCTTGGTTCAAACATTGTAGTGTCCACTTTTGTGATGGACTTCCGGAATAATGCTGAATCTTTACATGATATTCACAAGCATCTAGGACAAATCCAGACTTGGGATTCCTAATTATAACGGGCTTTTGGTGTTGAGTTTTACAGGAATAAGACATGTTTGATGTTTCTAAGTGTTTTTTTAAACAAAAGTTATCTAGAATTAACTAGTGAGTGCAAAATTCCTGTTTATATACATACATAGAGTTGTTTTTGTCATATTATTGGCTGGAAAACCCAAATGGTGATACTGTAAGCCTTGATTAAATTAAGTTGTTGTTTGATGTTGTGAAATTACTTACATAAAATTAGAACAATACATATTTCATATTCATCAAAACACATAGAGATTTTTAATCTTATTTTTTATGTTTTGTCTATAGAAGCAACTGTTACTTAAAGAATTATTTTAGTACGTGTATGTATTTAGAAAGATTACCTTCATATTGAATGAAATCGAAATAAGTGCACAAAACGTGAAGCAGTGCAACATTAAATTATTGTAGATTATGGATCTAATCGGTTCAATTTTTGGCTAAATAATTGTAATGAATCTTCAGCAACGTTTTTCTTCACATCTTACGTACAAATAAGAAACCGTGCTATGTGGTATGTAGTTAAGACTCCTAGGACTACCGCCATCAACTGTAAGCAGAGATCAGCAGCACTATTTAGGGAATCTGGGAACTATAAAGAAAGACCTGGGCAAGGTCACAAAAAATCTACTAGATATCTATTATTATTTATTTATTATTGATTTTATTTATTTATTTCCTACACATAAATAATAACTTTTGTGAGAGTAGATATAGATACACCTAAAGTATTTTTTATTAGGTTTGCGTTTACCTAAAATTTCCTCATAACTATTTTAGTATTATTAGTATTATTATAGTAAAAATATTAAAGATAAGACTAATCCTATGTTGAGAAACACATCTTACCTACATAAATTTTATTTTCAACTTATCGATATTACATTTGTACAAATTATATTTGTTTAGATATAAAGTCTACATATAAATACAGAGCGATTCTTAAATAGACCGACAAAATTTTATTCTTGGTAGTATCAAATGAGAACATGCTGGAAATAATATTAAAATTTTTTTTTTGTTTCAACGTTCTCCAAATAAAATGTATTAAAGTTATTTTCGAGGTAAAGCGTACGCCACTGATGTGTTCGTAAAAGTATTAGCAGGTAGTGGAAACCATGATATTAATTTGATGAAAATGTACTTGATCATTGCAACAATTCATAAACGCCGTAAGTGACACGGATCAAGGGGGTTTTGCCCCTAAAAGGTATAAACGTAAAAAGGGTACAGTTTGTCTCCATTTATCCTTAGGAAGATGTGATTAAATTTTGCCGGTCAATTTAAAAATCACCCTGTATATCAACGAATAACATTTATAAAAAAATTCTTATACATATTGTAAAAATATTCGTTCTAAACTTCCATGATAAAAAAATCTTACAACTTTAACTTTTGGACTTTTTTGACAGTTGGGATAGCGCGAAACCGACTAGGGCCGTAATGAAATTTGAAATATAAATTTGTTTCTAATAACTTATAAAATTTATATAACACTGATCAAGTAATAATGTTATTGGTAATGTTATTGATGAAGTAAAGAATAAATATAGTACTAATTTTATAAATTCTAATTATGAATTAGATACAATATTTATTTTGATTTATACTTTTATATTTTGTTTTCTATCTCTGGCACTCAATTGAAAAGTTACATCTTTCAGGATATTAAAAAAACTGACAAATCAAATTAAAATTACTTTATTTAGATGTAAAATTACAAATTACTATTGATACTGAAAAGTGAATTGCTGATTGGCTCCTCCATGCTTGCGATACGCAATTAAATTATTTCCTGCCGCATACTTTTCACTACATATGTCCACAGCGAAATTTCCACCGGCACTAACAATTGTTCCATCGGAATTAACATACCATTGCTGATTTAAACCACCATGTTTCTGATACGTAATTAAATTGGAGCCATTGTTTAGACCTCCCTGTATATCCAAAACTTTTCTGTGGAACAAAAAAATACATGACTATTAAACACATTTTTTTTGAATACATTTTTTTACCCGTTGCCTTTGTTAACAATGAAAAATTTACCAGGACATGCTTCTTCTAACTTCCATAGTTGAGATGGAAATCCGGTAAAATGTTGAACTTTGACTACATATTCATTAGCGTCTAAAACAAGACCCGATTTTTGGTTTCTTATTACTGCGTACTTCCCGTGACAGTGGGCCATTTTTTTAACTAGTGATTACGTAGGGCTTGGTTCGTTTATATACTCCTAGCAACTTATTTACAACTTTATTTCGTATGGGAGGTTTGATAAAAAATAATCTCTTGGAAGGGGAGATAACTAAATATGCTGGGTTTTCCCATGTTGGGTCCAAGCTCTCACCACTGATTGCACAAGGAAAAAAGCGTACAAGGAAAAAAGCGCACAAGGAAAAAAGCGTACACGGAAAAAGCGCACACGGAAAAAAGCGCACAAGAAATAAAGCGTACCTGTATACTGGGAAATCTTGTAAATTATTTTTTTTTGCATTTTGCTTTAAGTTTCTAGATTGAAGATATGATTTTGAAAGTTTGTGCAAATGTAAAAGTATGTAAAAAACACTAAAACAATAAACAAATCACGGCGATTTCGGCGCCGTACATAGTCGGTAGCCTGTAGGCTGAGGCGCAGAGCGCCCCAGCGGACTGAAGAGAAGAAAACACCTGCTGAATCGATAAAATTGGTAAACGTAGAAGTCGAAATGTGGGATAGGCGTTTTTATGGAGTTTTTAAAAATGAATTAAATATCACAATTTAAAATTTTTCTTTGTGCGCTTTTTTCCCTGTGTGCTTTTTTCTGTGTGCTTATTTCCTGTGCGCATCTTTCCGGTCACCGGGCAAAAGCACTCTGCTGTTTTCACTGTCTTTTCCTTAAATTATTGCGAATCTGAACCCAATTCGGTAAATCAACAATAAAATACGTTTTTTTTAATTACGAAAAATTTTTGGAGAGAGGAAATTGTGGTAGGTAATATCAGAGGCTTAATTTTATTAAGAAAGTTGTTAATTTTTTTTTTTGAGTTCATACCTACCAATTATATCAACGTCAAATTTTTGAGGAGAAAGTTTTATCTTTTTTGTTTTCTCACTAAAAATTTTGTTAACATTATCATTTTGTAAATACTAACTGACAAGAATCATAAAATGGGATGCAATTTTCGTATAAAACCACTAGTGCTTTGTATTGTAAATTGAGTTGCATCATCATCATGATGAGAAATTTATTAAAATATTTTTTTTAGTTAGATAACACCCAATACACATTATCTGTTATAGTGACAGTATAATATGCACACTGCATAGTTTTCTTTCTATAGTAGCGCCGTTATAACATTTGATCAGTCTCACCTACATAAAATAACCAATGACAGTTAAAGTCTGATTTACTAAGTACAAGTAAAATTAAAAACTAATCAATAATATACAAGGTGATTCACGAGGAATAATGAGCCTGACCAAATTCTCAACCATTACTTTTCGCAAGTTATTTTGCGACAACTGTAATGTTGGTTGCATCGAAAATTTGGTCAGACTCATTATTCCCCGTGAATCACCCTGTATAAAATCCAAATCTTTAAAATTAATGCCAAAATTACTTTCCCCCAAATTTATAATTAAATTTTCCAAAACATTTTATGTCCGTACAACTATTAGAATGTATAAATAAAAAAATAGAAGATTATTCAGTTTAAATTTGACCGCCTTGGAGATAATGGGTGGCTCCACTATAATGAAAAAAATATTCAAAATGACATAAAATGTCAGAACATAAAAAAAATTAGTCCGATAACAAAGAATGTTTAAAAAGGAGGAAAAACCCTTTGGTTTCGGCAGCGCTGTTAACCGCTTTCGCCCTTTGGGACTCCACCCAGAATTAATTACCGTAAACACAACAAATCCTCTTGGTCCCGGGCAGTACAATCCAAAACCCGCCTATTGCAAATACAAAAATAAAGCTGCGAGGTTTTTATGAAAAATTTTGTTTATCTTGTGCTATATAAATTTCCAGTTGGAAGGTTAAATTAGAAAGTGAAGAATTTTCCAAATATTTGGGCTTTCGAAACCCTCAAGTATTATGCGATCGCATGTTTGAAAGGACTCTTGGAGGGCCGGGAACTTATGATCTTTTTGACTATAAAGAAAAAGGCGGAGCTTCCACTTTGGAAAATGTTGGTTTTGGAAGTGGGGAAAGATTCCACTCGGCCATTAGAGATGAAACATTACCACCTGGTTGAAATTAAAAAAAAAATGTACTTTTTTTAATTAAAACTTTTAGGGTGTCACACCGTAAAAACTTTAACAACTAAATTTACAAAAACACCAACATTTGAATTTGACGGTATAACGTCTAGATTCAAAACCACTGAGCCCTCTTATAGAAAAGCTCCAAATCGTTACAAATTACCCGCTTATAACATCACAGATAAAGTTGTATCAAAAAGAGGCCCCTATGACACATTCACTGGACCTCGTGATGAAACCACAATCAAGAATCATTTTGCACCCCCTCTTTTCAAATCACCTGACACTTTTTATACTATACCTAGCGCAGTTGACCACCTTTTATATCATCCGAGCAAAAAAAGGTTTGCAGTTTATACTTAAATTATTTTCTTTTAATTGAGTGTCAAATTAGGAATGGCAAATTTTTGTTAGAGGAAAGGTTTCCAGAAGGATTATCAATAACAGCAACTAAAAACGGGTTCAGCATGTATATGAGAGACCCAGAATATCCCAGTCCGGCCCAATACGAAGTTTCCAAAGGGTAAAATTTTGTTTAAATCAATTGAGAATTTTATAGGAGTTTTAGGATCAAAGCATCCAAAAAGAGTTTGTATCCTTTTAATAGCTCCAATGTGAACGCCAGACCCCCACCAAACTGGAAAATTCATCCAGGGCCGGACCGTTACAAAGTAAAATATCCTACATGTCACAAGAAGAGTATCAAAGGCTCTTGGATGTTTTTGTCTACGACCGAGCGTGAATTAGTCAAAGTGGAGAGTTACAGCAATTTTATCTATTAAATATCATTGGAAATTAAACGATTAACACGTTTCTGCAAATTTCCGGAAGTTTCCATCCCTCTAGGAGGCGGAAATAGCCGACTTCCTCAATACAACGTCTAATCTGTAGACAATTCTCATTAAGAACCAGCCCAAAAGGCGCATTCGTAATTCGCATTAATCGCCAGCCAAATATTGACTTTCGCAAGAACAACAGGAAACGCCCATTTTTCCATACAATGGACATCGAAACTTTCTTCGCTTGAAATTTCTCTTGATTGACGATGTATCTACGAAAATTCAGAGGACAAAACGTGTCACCAAGGCGTAACACGTGCGAAAGTAATCTAACGAAAATGTCTTATTTAAATTTCTATTACGTCTTCTTGATCAACTGTGAGATAATGTCACTTGATGAAAAAACCATTTAACCGCACGAAATCTTCCCATCATCAACCATATCAAACTTTCTTTCATCTGAGAAAGTTATCTTGAAAAATCAATTCTTCTGGTAGGTTCCTTTCTGCAAGTTCGGTTATTTCCCGCATTTGTCAATTCATTATAAACACTTGTTGTTATGCAATTAACAATTGAAAGATGTTTCTCTGAAGAGGAAGCAGTAGGCACACAACGTGATGTTATTGAAACAATATAAGACCAAACGTGACCAGCGTACGCTTTCTCACAGGTACCATTTTCATTTCCTTCCAACTGCTGCGATTTTTGAGTCAAGGTTGGATTAACTATTGCAGAAGAAAATCAAGTTTTTCTTGATGGAAATATTCGCAAGCTCAATATCGCAACAGGTGTTTATCGAGAACTTGGAATGCCGCGTGCTACTAATTAGGTAACTCGTTAGTCATCGGAAGTAGGGGAAGGTGGGGACAAGATACGATTACCAGTACATGTCTTATCCTATACCCCAGTAAAACCACATATTGGTGGGACAAGAGTTTCGAAGCCATTTTTATTGAGGCATGGTTGATTTTCTCCTTTTTTTTATTAGTGTTTCTATTAATGTCTACATAGAGAATATTTAATACACGCGTATAACAGTCCCAGTGAACTAAATTAATTTAGCTCTTCAATTCAGTGTATTGTACATATTTTTTTAAATAAAATTTCAAGGTTGTAAACACACATCAAAGTTCATGAAAGAAAATATGCGAAAAAAATTGCCGTAGAAATGGGCAATTTTACGAAAATATACGAAAACATCTGATGAAAATAAATGTGTTTACTAAGCAAACGACTTTTGAATTCACTTAACTAATAATGAATAAAACAGAAACTGGTAACCTTATCTTCCTTGAGTACTGCTTTAGCAACGAGAAATGACATGTAAACATGACTGATTATATTGCAAAAAAATATGTTATGGATTTTTTACAAAATTACAATTCAAATTTAAAAAGAAGCTCAAAAATGTTAAGTATCAGTACTAGTTCACACTTTTTGAAACTGTGAGTAGGTATTTAGGAGTGATTAAAAGACGCAATTGATGCGGAAATGAACAAACCACAACGTTTAGTACTCCGTGTTCAAGAAACCGCAACATATTGCCATTTAAGAAGAATATTATTTTAGTTGCGACGTGGCGGAATTGTAGACGGAAATGTGAATACTCAAGTAAATCAATTAATTTTGCAAAATTAAACTGAATCATTTTGAGATACTATCTTGCAAAAAAATCTAAGCAAGACTATTAGGTAATAACAATTAACAAAATTGTAATATAACTGCAGATAATTGGATGCTATATTTCTTAATGTTCCAATATTTTGAACTATTATATTACATAAATCAATTAGTAGCAGTAAAAGAGGAGATTATTTTAAAAGACTGTAACCTAGTCTTAATGTTCGCTAAATTTGTCAAAAAAAAAAACACAAAAGCTAATAGATTGGCTTGCTATCTCTGACCCGAATTACATATTCTATTATATAAAATTTTATAGCCACAATTACCGAATATACCACTCACACGTCCGTGTGCCACCGCAATAATTATTTTTACGTGAGTACCTCTTGATTTTCTTACAACACCCATGACCATCTCGAACCGATGATATAACAAATTGCACGAAGCAATGAGGGGTGAAAACCTCCGAATTTTTGAAAACGATGACGCAATTTTTACGATTTTATTATTGTTTTTTTTCTATGCTGATCTAATTTGCAACTTTCACGTTGCTGTGACAGCAATTTATTTTTGTGAGATGAGGTCATATTTTCCTAATGGGAGCATTTCCGTGTTGATTTCAAAAAATGAATTAGCAATAATTACTAACCCACTTGAAGGGTTTCATACAGGTGGAAGTTTTCACTTTCTACAAGACGAATGCGATTAGGATTAAAAATAATTGATTAAATATAAACCGGTAGAAGTGCACATAAGGAAAGTCATTTGGTTATTCCAATTGATTTGATTCATGTTGTTGCAACGTTTAAGGTAATTGATGAAAATGTGATGAAACCATGAATTAAGGAAAAGGATTGAAGATTCGGTCACCAAGATCCGGTAAAGTAGGTGGGTGGCTGCAAATGAAATTTTTATTATACATGCTTGTGAGAAAGCTAAACGTATTTATTGCATTTTTTTGCAAATGTAGTATTAATAAAATCAATTTAAAGAACGACAGACTTGGAAATCAAAAAGAAAATTTCACATTTTTATGTACAACATCTAATATGGCAAGTAAAGTTTATATTTTAATGAATTTTTTAGGGGTATTAAAGGTTATGCGTTTTTTATTCGAAATTGATTACTCTATCTATTTGGGCAATAAAAAATTGGTATTAAGAGAGCAAAAAAATGGAAAAACACAGAAAATGTGACCTGCAACTGCTGGAACCGGAAATTGAGTGGATGTATCCGGTTTTCGTGATATTACCAGTTCAAAGGGTATGTTGTCACAGGGAAATGTTCCAAATTTTATAATATTTGGTCAAATAGTTTCAAAGTTACTACAAAAAAATCAAATTTCCATACCCACATTCCGAGGGCTGTAAAATTCTTATCAGTAGAAATAGGACACGAGTTATTATTTAAATTAACATCATTTTATGGGTCATTTTTGAGGTTCAAATATTGCTTCATATTTATGAATAACCCCGTATGTACAAGTATGTACATTTTTCTAAGATACACTTGACTAGTTATCAAATTATGATTTCTTTATTTTTCTAATCTGTCTGTCAATACAACTTTGAGCTATGAGTGAGTTGTAGGTTTTTTATATAAAATTATACCTAATAGAATTTGTGCAGATTTCTTTAAACTATAAAAACAGACTGCTTTATAAATATTTTTAGACAAACATTAAAAAAATTAAACAAAAATCAAAGTCACAAATATTATACCTATTAATTTATTGTATTCTGCAATTAGGTAGGCTTATGTTCCTAGATTGATTCTAATAGCCTTAGTAATGTCCTAAAACATATTTTTTAAATACTGCAAAAAAACTTGATGTATTGCTAATATCTTGTTTCTATGATATAACAATGTTCTTAAAAAAATAAATTTTATAAAAGTCAATAAAATCTTTGCACTATTCGCAAGTATGACTTAAATTAATATACTCGTTTTGTTTTGTATGTATACCCACCCTGTCATTTTGTTATACCGTGCGATCAAAAAATAAATAAATTAGAGTAGTCAGTGATTAAAGTCCTTCTGATGGCAATCCTGATTTTGATATCAAATGTCAACGGAAACTTTGACAAGTTTGCGTTTCATTCATTTTGAGTGAAATAATGTTCACTTTAGTGTAGACAATTTTTATTGTTGCAAGTTATTACAAATATACTGTACAAGACGAAAACGGTGAATGGTAATTTTCACTTTCAGTTTGTGTGGAAAATTTCCACTCTAGATTCCCAGCCAATTTGTTGCCAACTGTAGAATTTAATCGACGCCTACTCTATTTTTATTTATTTTTTGATCTCTGATGATTAATCAAGAAAATGTTTTTAAATATTTGGGCTTCTTTATTACAGGGCGATTCAGATAAGATAATGAGCCTGACGATCTGGCGATGCAACCCAAAAAACAAATTTCATTTACGTCTTTGATCCAATTTAAATTAGGATTTGATTTGCAAGTTGAATCCAAGTTATCATCTTATGTCACTCTGACATCAACGCAGAGAACCATTATTAGTACCATTCAGTTCTCGCGGAATGATAGCGAAATTAGAGAAGTCTTTTCGGTGTAAACCCAATACAAAATGTAGGAAAGATTGAAACATTAAAGGTAGGCAAACAGTTTTTTTTTATAAATCATAAAATGCTTGTCAAAGCACTGTCAAAGTAACATAAGATAACTTAGATTGCAAATGCAAATAGGAATTAAAATTAAATCAACACGTAAATGAAATTTGTTTTTTGGGTTGCATCGCCAGATTGTCAGGCTCATTATCTTATCTGAATCGCCCTGTATAAATCTTAAACTTCGGGTTTGCAGAAATATACTTACTTTAAATTTATCACAACAAGTTAATAAATCAAAGAAGATAAAAACATGTTTTTGGCTCGGTTTTTTATAGAAAGAAATTTTTAAAAAAGTAAAAAGTGCAATGCAGCATCAGAAAGCATACTTTGAAGAATTATTTGAGAAACAATAAATAGTTTTTTTAGGTACGTTATAAATAAGAATAAGAAACCTATAGCTAAACTGATATGAGCTTACTGGTTAATGAATGCTGAACTAGATATTACTGGGTTAATTTAGTAACTGTACCTATCAATAATAAACAAACCTTGTAAAAATGTAAAGCAACAACATGAGTATAAGTATACTTAAATTCTCCGTTTATTTTATTTGATATATTCTTCTACGTGATGTGCTTTCAATGCCATATACGATGCACAAATCTCCCCAATCCCCAGAGAGCAATAGTAATACTTTCATGACGTTTATTATCAGCCTAATTAATTACTGTCCGGCAACCTTTGAATGCATTAACAGTTGTTTATATATAACATCCAGACTGGGTCAGTAGATAATAGTTGCTCTGACATTTTGACTGCT